AATATTAAAATTATTATTGCCATCATGCGTTAAACAAGTTCAATATTTTATGGTTTCTATTAATTTATGAAGTTATCACTTCTGTCGAGCGTCCCCTGACGCACACCATTTTTCGTATTTAAAGTTTAAAAGTTTGATAGGAAAAGGCTTAGTAGCAAAATAATTTTTTTCACGAACAGTATAATTGAAAAGTTGCCACTTTATTCTTACTTATGTAGACAAACACTGCACATAAGTGGTACTTATTGAAATGTATGGGTTTTCGAAGAAGTTAAAATTAAATAGGGCAGAATATGTTCAGATTTACACTGTACTCTGTCCAATATAAAAGGGGCTAGATTGGGGAGGAATGATATGAAGCTGGTTGCTTGAATTGGAACAACTTGGGCAATTGCTCCATATAAATAATCAACTTAAATAACGATAGAAACTGCACGTCTCAACCTTGAAAAAAGTAGATTGCAGAGGGAGTCAAGGTTTTCACTATTATTCGTTTCTGTACAAAGGAACAATGCCTCGATAAAACCGCTGTTATCAACTTCGAAGACTAGCTGCTTCTTACAATTTCTCATGTATTTTTTGTTATTTTCTAGGTGAATTTTACAATAGCATATACACAGGACCCACCGGTCCTTTGCTTGGTGCTCAACATCCTCGCTCAACCTCCACTCGACCTGCCCAATCGAACCACAGACAGACCAGGAGTCGATACCTCGACACGATCGACTTCCAAGAAATAGAACGCCCAAAGTGGAACTGTACTGTTTGTACATTCCTCAACCATCCAGATCTGGACAAATGCGAAGAATGTGACATGCCCCGCGTGTACCATGGTAGGAGAGTCACAGATTTAACACTAGATGCTCTGAAGCATTTGCCTAATCCTGCTGACCTGGACGTGTCTTTCGACATGTTCCAAAAGTCGGCCCATGCACTTAGGAAAAGTGTTCGCTCCGGCGCTCACAGCTTGCCGCACATCACTAACCATTCCCCACTGACTACGAGTGAAATGCTACGAAGACTGAAGTTACCCAATAATATTAACCAAGCGATAAATATAACTAACATAGTTCCTCTTTCTAGTAATGCGTCCGCTCCTAATGCTATTCAGTTGCCGATGAACACTAATAGCAGCGACGCATGAATTTCTGAGCAAATTTTCTGGTTTTTGCAAAACTAACACTTGTGATAAATGAAAATATAGTAACCTTAAACAAGGAAAAGGCAATAGTTTCACAATACACACGGGGAACCATTTGTAGCATAAACATTTTTTTATGAAAAAAGGTTCAAATGTTTTGGTTTGTTTTAAATGTGCCGTCCTAAATGTGAAGTTCTTCAAATTTCTTGCTAGTTCTTGGTGTCCTAACACATAACATGATACAAACGATGCTCCATAAGTGCATATTTTTAGGCAGAGTTTTTATTAACGATATATTATAATTCTTGCGGAGTAATTGAGCGGCAACTTGAAAATATTGTTTTAAATATTGATACTGATAAAAACTACTCAAAACTAGTAGGAAGCTAAGTAATACTTCAAAAAATCCGTTTTATAACAGGTTTGGCTATGGCTAACAATGTTCTTTCAACATTGCAGTACACAACTTTATATGATTGTTTTGAGTAGTTATTTATTTGCTTGTTGCCGGAGGGTACAAATATAAAATGCTCAACAAAATAGACGTTACACGGACAAATTTTGGAACTAGATAAATTCTAATCGCTCAGCGATTTGATTTCTGTTTGGAGCGTTATTTAGTGCAATTTATTTTCGGTTAGTTGTGCGTGTTTTTGCAAAAGATTAAAAGTTGAGATAGTTTCTACGATCTGGCAAATGAAACAATGCAAAATTGGTGAGCGTTCCACATGTTACCAGTGGACAAAAAGACGTTTTTTTCTCAATACCTTCGCATATCTAAAAAAAATTCAATTTTTCTACCATCAAGTTTATTTATAGTGGCATCAAAAAAAACTTTTTGGTCCAGTAGTGATATATTTTTCCCTCTTGAGCCGATTTTTTAAATCTATTACTCATGTTGAGGTTAAAATTGTTAATGGCCTAGCGAAAAAATCAAAATACCGGGTTGTATGACTTAAGGAAATATTTGAAAGTGAACTTCACTTTAGTTGCATCTGCTAGAATCACAGATTTCGGGGCCAATTCTTTGTCCCCAAAATCTGGGATCTGAATCCCCAAAAAATGAGTCATTTTTCATGCAATCCTGTACATATATGGAATTTTTGTTTTACATTGCCTGTGAAATTTTAGCTTCAACTTGAGCTCAAGATCGTGAAACTTGCTCCAAGACCAGAAAAGTTATCAATGCAAGATCAACAAGTTGATTTTTGAAGCCACCCTGTAGATACAAGAGACAACCGAAAAAATCGAAAATTGTTTCGAGCTATTTGGTTTATCTTTAATATTTTGCTGTTGAGATCCAAAAGACCTTATTTGTGTCCAATTAAAAGCATGCCGAACTGTCGGCAATTTTGCATTTTCCATTTGCCACCCTGTGGAAAATTGATCTGAGGTACTTAATTTTTATCAAGACATCAAGGAACAAAAAACAAATGGCGTTCAATAATGCTTCAAATAGAAACGAAATCGCCCGAAGTAATCAGAATTTATCCACTTCTAAAGTTAGGACAAAGTTGGCTGTGTAACGTTCATTTGGTCGGGACGAACTAGTGATAACCGTTGGTGATTAAATCTAGAAATTATTCAGAGTTTTAAAATGCAGTATCATACATTGTAGAGGAGGACGCGTTTTCATAAAATCGAAAACCAGCAAAAGACATAGTTCCGAACCAGCTGCATTTAGAACAAATTATATAAATAATGCGCAACTTTACAAATGAAATAAATTACTTTTTTGTGACTGGACTTGCCAATTACTGCTGTTAAACAAATAATTCTTCCTCCATTTTTTAAGTGATTCAGTGATTTAGATTATTTTTTACCACTGTAGGTTCTAGGTGTTCCGGCAATGTACGATACTCCACCATTTATATTAGTTAATAAGAGTTAAATGTGATATAAAGTCAATGTAAAATAACTCGCACAGGGGTTGACTCAAATTGTTTATTTTGTACATTTGGTAACCAAATGTTATTTTAATAAACGTGATTAAATTTTAAAGGCTTTTCTTTCATTTCCAGTATCTGCGGCCCCAGGGGATAATATTCATATCCACGTGACTCCAAGACTGTCTAGGCGTAAGATATTTGCGTTGTGTGTGACTTTTTTGTACTTAAAAAAACTGACTTGGGTTTGCATGTAAACGTTGTCGTAATATATGAATAACAAAATTGTGTTAAAGCTTTTGAGGAATAAATATTCAACGTTTTGAAGGAAGAAATTCCGATAGACCACGGCTTCAAAGCCCGGAAAACATTCCTAAATGTAATTCAACGTTTGTTTTGCAGTTTCTTAAAACGCCAACATAATTGTGTAATACTTTTTACAAGTCACTCGACATTTCTTTATGCTGTATACAATTAAAACTTTAAACAATTTGATCAGCTAAACAAATAAATTTGCTTTTTGCTACAAAACTTACAAGCTGTGATCCTCCACTTTGGTTGTACGCGGACATATCAAATATAAACAAGACAAGATTTATTTCACAATATTTACGAAAACATACCGCCCTATAAATATTTTTTTCCTTTCATGCTCGCGTAAAACTAACTAAATTAACGGAAAATACAGCAAGCACACATTTAACTCATGATATTTTTTCAGGATTTGATTTATAATCGAATCTTGTTCTGTTGAAAAGTGGTGTGTGAATATCTAAAACATACTTTGACCAACAATGAATGAACATGCTGGATGGGAGAGATCTCAAATTGGATGTTGAAAAGCTTGGCTAATATTTGAAGTTTACGCAATTCAATAGTTTTGCTTGAATCATTTCGACATCTTCCATAAATGTAATTGTATATTTTTCGTTTTTCAGGTATTGCTCATTCTTGGGTTCTATGAGACAGAACAGGATAACAAGGTTTAAAAAGTACTGCTGTTTAACTTATTTTATTGATTAAATAAATTGCTCATCAAATACACAATTTGTAACATAGCTGGTATTTTTAAGTTTTAAGTTGAATGTAAATATTGTATTTATTATTTATTTTTGAATAAATGCTTATTTTCATAAAAAAAATAAACAGGAAAGGCATGTTTTTTTGTAATACATATGTATTGCCAAAACTTGGAACTTATCAGAACTCAATAATAAACAACTTTACTAAAGGTACAAACATAATTATAAAATCCAATGCACTTTTTTCTATAGTTTACTGTACAAAAATCAAGGTTGCACACACATCTACTAAACCAAGAACATCTAGACCGCTGTTCCTCTTTCCAAATTCTGTTTAATCTCGGTTGTATGCTCTCCATAAGATCTCTCCAACTTCTTGTTGAATTTGGCGTTTCGTTCGTTAATATAATCAATATCGGCGTCATCATTGTGCATTCTTCTTCGAGAATACTTGTTTCTCTTGGCAATTTGATCTTCTACACTTTTTACAAGATTGTCTATAGCTTCGGGTCTGTCTTGGTGTAATCCGTGCACAATAGTGTGTGGACCTGCATAGAAAGCGTCTCCAAGTTTTTCTTTTTGTTCCTCATAACGTTCCATATCTTTTGGTGCCATGTTCTTTACTAATCTGTAAACAATAAACAAAGCAACTAATTAATAAAGTATGTAATAAACATACGGAGTCTAAAGGCACAATTAATATTACTGGGTTAGTAATCAAATTTTCTTAATACTCTCAATATAAAAGTCCTGTAATTACTTGCCTGTTATACTGCCTGTGTGTAGCTGCTTCAAAATCTGAGAATCCTTGGTCAGGGTTCTTCTTTTTCTTTTTTCTTTCCAGACGCTCAGCATCAATGGCAGTCAAATTCAAAAGCTTCTTTCTATCATAATCTTCGCCTAGAATTAAAAAACAACTTGCTTATAAGAAAAAATCGTCTAACTTACTGATGAAATACAACAGGGTTCTTATACATATACATTTAGTAGTCTACATTAAACAATATGTAAAGCAGCCTAAAACTAGGATTCATAAAAGTATGTTTTCAGAAATTATCCACAAAAATGAGTTTAAAAATAATCATTATGTTGAATTCGATAGAATTCGAGTGCTATTGGATTGGAGATACCTACTGGTAATATCTCGATTATTCCCATTACCGCTAGATAAATTTGTCCAATGAATGGTAGTGCTCTAGTTTAACTGATTTAACAAAAAACCTATTTATTGCACGTGTAAATTGTGAAAACAATAACACACGTATAAACTAAACTGGTAAATGTAAAGAACGTATAATAGTAGGAGTCACCCCACGCTTTCACAAGTTAAAAAAGCATCCAAACTAGCATGCTTAGCTTAGAAACAGATGTGTATAAATAATGGAAATTCCTACTTTTAACTTACGACACCCCGCTCTCTCCTCAACCTTGCTTGAAATGAGCCATACATTAAACATCGCTGATAATAGGTAATAGGAATTGGTGTGAACACACTGGATGAAATCAAAGAATGGGTCTTTTTTGTATTGAAGTATGTAATTAAGGGTCTTTTTCTATTGCTACATGGCTATACCCTAAATTTAGTAGCTATACATACCATTTTTTGATGCCTCCTCCCGTTCTTTCTGGTCGTTTAGAATCCATTCAGCCTTTCGTTTCCTGGCTTCCCAGTTCTGGGGCATCTTATTTCTAGCATCCTCTGCCACCACTTCATGATGATTGTGGGTTCTTGCCTCATTTCGCATGCGATGGAGCTCTCTTAACCTCTTCATACGTTCTGCCTGTTGTTGTGCAAACGTTTTCGTTGGGGTTGATTCTGAACTCATTTTTAAATCGACTTTTGTATGTGAACTGGTTCAAACACTACTAAACTGGACGAAATTGTAAGAAACTTGTACAAATATGTTACCAATGAAATGGATTCGGAATGAAAACAGAAACAACAAACGACAAACGACAATCATAGATGAAGACAAGTAGCACAAAATATCCCCCCCAGGGGGTATGTTCTGTGGACAAGTAGACAAGCTGCGAAATGTGAAGCAGTTTGCAGTTGTATCGGTTAACGGAATAGAAAGAGAGCAAGCTATAAATGACGGAATATGAATTAAACAAATCATCATAAAAATATATTATTACAATTTTAAAAATTTTTTAAATTAAAGTACCAGTAGACTGATAAGTGTTATTAACTTAAATTTAACAAACTGTTATTTTCTGTTTTAAATGCGGTAGTGTCAAATGTATCAAAACGACTTTTCCTCGGGCAATAACAAAACCAGCTGTTTTTTGTTGGTTTCTAATGTTGACAGTGGCAACTGACAGCAGAAGTAGTTGCAGAAACCATAAATAGAAAACAAAGGAATTTTTCTTTTCTACCTTTTGCATTATTCTTATGTAACTGAAGTTGAATAACAATTAATTACGCACATTTCTTGAATTCAACTAAGGTTAAATCAGATAAAATTATGAGTGTAGATCTAAGTGCTAAATCGTTGGCTCAGTGGTTCTCTGATCCTGAACAACACAAATGTGGTTACTGCAAAAGTTCTTCAGGGAGCATGTCTTTTGGTAAGAAACACTTGATGAATTCTACAGCTTTCAATCAGTTTCCTTGATCAACTAATCTCGAACACATTCCTTGCAGAATTACGCGTTTACCGTATCTTTTTATAAACCATTATTTGCGTCTGTTATTTTTTTTAATGCTTGGTGCTTCAGAGGTGTTTTGTGGTGCTCATGTACTTTATGTCTCGCCGAGTTTTGAATTTTTCCTTAAAGTACACTTAGAATTAAACAGATTCAGCAAATATTTATATTTATACAACACCAATTTCATTTTCCATGGTATATACAGGGTCGCTAAAAAATTTTCAAAAGTCTTGTTTTTTCGGCAAATTAATGGAGAATCCAGATTTTTTTCACTGAAGCTGCTTGATTTTAGGTGCTTTAAAGGAAAATTCAAAATAAATCAAAATTAATTTGTGTTAACGTGGGTATGTATGTAAAAAAAGAACAAATCGATTTTATGTGATTTTTTTTAAATGTAATTTGATTCAAATTATCTTATGCAAATAAGCCACTTATTTAAGAAGAGTTATAGGAGAAGTTATTGAGAAAATGAGAAATTATCTGTAGGTATTCAGTGTTGCTACAACTACTACAAGAAAATGTATGTAAGTAATATAAAAAAAAATCTGAGGAAAATGCACTGACAACACTTTCAAAAAAGGCCCCAATCTTCAAAGAAAAAAAAAGAACAGGAAACAGCACATTTAATGTACAGGGATAACGTAATACCGACTCTTTGGATTGAGTTTGATTTATTTTAGTCAAGAGGACGAATTAATTCAGTGATATTTATAAAAATGTTACTTGATTAAACTGCTTTATACATTGTGCACTTTAGTACTAAATAATTAAAAAATGCTTTCATTTACGTTTTTGCTTTCGGATCAATCTCTCATACTCCTAGCAGAATATTATATTTTTTATAGGGATGTTAACTGAAGAACTAACAGTTGAAGATTATAAGGATTTGATTGATCGAGGTTGGAGGAGATCTGGTAAATACTGTTATAAACCGATAATGAATGAAACCTGCTGCCCCCAATATGCCATTAGGTATTCCTGCAAGTATTATAACTGTTAAGAATGTGTAGCTGTAGAAAATAGATAGCGTATACGGACGGAAATAAGTGCATACTTAAAGTTGCGTCAGTATTACTGATAAATCAATCAATATTTTAAATTGTAGTAGAAGTTTGAAAATTGTGGCACAGATATACTTAGTATACTACTTTTGTTGAAGGTGTGATACTACACAGTTTACATTAAACAAATCCCACAAAAAGATAATGAAGAAATTTAACAAATTCCTCAATGATGGAGTTTTTAATAAAAATACATATACACATCAGCAAGATGAGAGTACTATTCAAATGCCGGGTAATCAATTCGATAAAAATAGGAATACAGCAAACCGATATTCATTTTCGATATTTAGGCTTTAACAAAGTGAGCACAATTATTGATTTATACCAAGAAATAACTACTGAAGAAGGAAACTTGAATAATATTACATACAACGAGGTGAAAGACACAGATGGGGATAAACATTTGGCACAAACATCTATTGATAATGGTACTAAGAAATCAAATGGTAAGCAGTAAAAAAGCTTGTACCGAAAAGTGGATTAACACGATTAAAGGCAAGCAGCATTTGCAGACTCCATAAATACATCCAGTCTGCCGAAATATATTAAGAAAGGTCTTAAAGAGGGCACTGGTGCAGATCCTACACGACCTCCATGTAAAAAGGCTAAGCTGTTACGATTAGAAAAGAAAAAAGATAAATTATCCCTGAAAGGTGAACAGCTTCCATTAGCCCCTAAATCAAATGGAACTGAAAAGTCACTGAGGCAGTTTTTAGAAGACGTACAGCCCTCTTTCAAACATAATCTAAAGGTATTGTTTGTAGTCATTAGTTTATTAACATCAAGGTGCTATAGACGAGTTGTATGAATAGTTATTCTTTTTTTCCTGCAGCTTAAGCTAATCTCCACAACTCGTGGCGAAGAATGGAAGCAAGTAAAAGATGTCGAGTTTGAGTTATATTTTAAGTATCAAAGTATTGTTCACAATGATCCACCTGAGCGTTGGACTGTTCGCAATTTTGAGAGATTTTTAGTTTCATCACCTCTTAAGGTATTTAAAAATATGAAAATTGCAAGCCAAGCAGAGTAAAGGAATAACTATTTTTTGGTGACTAAAATTTCCCGGATTAAAGGTGATTGGCTCTCTCTTTTGTGACAGTGAAAAGTTTTTTTACTACAGAATATTTCAAAGGGTAGATTAATTTTAATAGCAAATGTATTTCTTAGCTAGTTCTGGAACGAATGGACGTAAGCCATGAAACGTTCAGAGAGAGCTCTGACCTCTTTAAAAAGTATCAGATGGCCGTACATAATGAACGTCCCGATGATTGCGACGACGACTCATTTTACGAATTTCTAGTTAGTACACCACTAAAGGTATTCTTGCTCTGCTTGATATTTACTAATTAAGAAGTCACTCTCAAGGTAAACTGTTCTAATCTGCAAATCCCAAAATAAATGCACATTTCCTTTTTTATTCGTTTATAAATTTAGCTTGAATGATTGCTAAAACAGTATGTGGCTGCTTTGTTTCCACTGTTTTTTTCCGAGGTCAATAATACTGTTGAAATTTATTCAATGGTTCATTTAATTTTGGTCTTGAAAGTTCCTAATGGGTGCTTGTTTATGTGCTCAGAAATAATGCTGCAATAATAATTTATTTCAAAAATTATTTGAAAATGTACCTTTTCGCAATGACAACTTTTTTCAAATTTTGTTCGCATTCAATTTTTCAAATCATTTTAATTGTAATATTTGAAAACCTGAACGGTTTTTGTGGATTAATTAGTTGCTACCTACTGCGAATTGTTTTATATCATTTTGAAGCAAATTCATACATCTTTTGTGGGATAAGAAGAAAGCTTCTATAACAGTATGAAGCAGGAAAGCGAATTTTGATGGTCAATAAAATGCACTGTTCTGTTTTGTTACACAATCATAACATATTGAAAGTAGATTTTCAAATAATTCAATATTGCCTTAGAATATCTAGAATATTTCTTGTGAGAAAATACACAGACGTGATTTAAGCTTTTTCTTTGCCCCAAAAGTATATAAATTTACGTCTGGTAAAAGAACCTATCTGTTAAATCTAATGGAATAGTATGCGTATTGAGTATAAACCTAAAAATATGGTTCGAACTATTTGTTGAATAAATCAGTAGAATGATGCATCTAAGATTTCAAATTCGATATATTGAGTTTTATTTATTTTGCTCAGAGAAGTCTGTTGAAAGTATTACTTTTGTTTTTAAAGAATATTTTTCAAAGTTTAAATATCTGAAAAATTATATATGAAGTAAATTATACTAATTATACGAGAAAGTTGCGGCAAATTTGCCATTTTTAATTTTTTTGTATGAGACACCGTATATGTATATAATATCGTTTTTGTATGTGCAATTACATATTTTCTGATTTTTTTGGGAATCGATATACAGGGTGTCTCATTTAAAAATGCAAATGAGGTAGTACATTTTCATGTACGGTAAAGTAGCGGCGCAGTATTGTTGAAAATCAATTTAAACGTTACATCACAGGTGATTGTAAAACTATCCAAACATTTATAAAAATTCAAAGTTTGAAAGCAATGACAGATCATGAATGAAGCTAACAAGATATATATCGTAAATTGTTAAATAATTAAAGTTATAATTTAATGATAATCTAAAACTAGGAAATATGTTGATAAATATAAAACAAAATGTTGGTTTTTTTGTGAATTCTTTCTTTTTTCAGGAACAAGGCATTACTACTGAAAATATAATAATCGTTAAGCCTCGCTTTCTTATCACTTTATTCAGTTTGATTTGAGTCATGTGTGTAAATGTAGCTCTTTGTATTGAACCATTTGAAACGTTCTTAAAAGCCACTACGATGTTCGATGTTCGAGTTCGAGTTCAAATTGTTCAACAAATTTAAAATGTGCTTTCATTTTGGTGCAGAATAAATTACCGTTGTTTTTATTTATTGTATAATACCATAAATCGATTGACCCAAAGTATGACAGCGTTTTGATGAAAAAAATGATAAAATTATATATTAGTAGGTAGGGCTTAAATTATTATTATTTTTTTTTTGACTGTATGTGAAGGTCTATTTGAGGTAGACAATTGACACTTCTTATGCATACTTAACTACTTTATGAACAAATCGCAATATGAAATCATATTTTGAAATGCCATTGTTTACTGCACAAAAAATGTACTCTATTTGAGCCGTTTTAAAGAAAATATGTATGCATCTTATGATATGAATACGTTTATATAAACCAATAAATAGGCTAGGGGCAATTATTTAGTAATTTCTTACAATTAAATTTTTTTTTAATATTGATTAGGTACTAAAATCAAAAATTAGTATTTCAATTGTGCATTTTTTACTTTGGTATCCATCGTTTTTATATAAAATTAAATTTGTCTCTTTCATGAGTAACATTACAGGTTTTAACTACGAATATATTTTCTGTACCGGGTTTGGCCTTTCAAACTGCTTTTTTTCAAATTTGTTATTTCTCTTAACAGACTAGGAGTTAGGGGCAAAATAATATTTCTCAAATCAAAATTTACAGGACTGACGTAAAAATATGTACCTAGTAGTACAATGTGAAATTCGAAAGTTCATGTGCTTATCTAAAATAGCATTTGAAACTCAGTTAAAGAAGTAAGGAAAATAACTAAAAACCAGAAAAAATAATAAAATCTTTGCATTTCAATAATGATGCGCTTGAGGGGCAGTTTTCTCTTTTTTTAAGTGTATGCTAATATTTGGGTCTCCCTGTATATAATTTTTAAATCGGAAATATCGTTACGAGATGTTCTGTTTATTTAGCATAAACCATTCCCGAATGGTATTGATGGTCCAGGATATGGATCTTTCCATCAACAATACTGGATAGACGATAAACTGATTGCCGTTGGTGTTATTGATATACTCCCAGGTTGTCTTAGTTCCGTATACTTTTTTTATGATCCAGATTATAGGGACTTGACTCTTGGGACATATGGATCATTAAGGTAACTGAAAATATTAATTTTGAGTTGATTATATTTGAATCGTTTAATTATAGGGAAATTCAACTGGTGCTGGACCTGCAGAATAAAATCCCAAACTTCAAGTATTACTATATGGGATTCTACATACATTCATGTCCAAAAATGCGTTATAAAGGCAAGCTGAATCCATCGTACCTGTTGTGTCCTGAAACGTACACTTGGTTCAAAATTGATAAATGTGTGCCAAAATTGGATATCAGTAAATATTCGCGACTGAATGAAGATTCACGCGTAGTAGATACAAATAGTGGTACTGTTGATGAAGTCAATAAGATCATGGTTGTATATGGCCATAAATTAATGTACATGCGAGATTTTTTGCGTGTTTGCGAAGATCAGAAAGATGGGTTTAATAACTTAGTTAAACAAGTAGGAAAGAAATCGGCTCTGAATATTGTTTTTTGGGTCTGTTCAAGTTGAATTTATGTCCAACCGATTACAAAATTACGTCCACACTAAAAGATTATTAAATTATCGTTATATGCTGAAAAGTAAAAGTTTTATTAAAGTTTTATGTTTTGTTTAGATTGTTAGAAAATAATTTGCTTTTTGGTTGCTCAAAAAAGTGCTACTTGCTAAATTGATTTATTGGCAATGCTGATTAACGAATCACTACTTTTTAATTTGTACCAGTTTTTATTGGTATGTTTAGTGTAAGTTGCTGACAAAATTAAAATACAAAAAAGTTATCTAATGAAATGGTTTTATTTCAATACCCTGTTAAAATGAATCTGAATGGATATACAGAACAGGTTGAATGAGTGGAACCAAGATAAGACCATATCACTGAGGTCTACATGTGTAGTACCGATGGCAGATCGATGTGTAACTCTAATGTAAAAGAAGGTTATTGTTAAATTGCTTTATTATGTTAAAACCTACAAAATGCGAAAATGTCCATATCTAAATTGCGATTATTTTAATTTTTATTTGATATTATCATTTCAAATTATTTAGGCACAAGAGCATTGTGTAATATACATTATTGAAGCAAACGTTTCTGACATATTTTTAATTATTTGAATTTGAAGCTCTACCGTAAGGTAAATACCTCAAAATGTTAATATTACTATTAATAATATTAAAAACTAAATAGCCCCTATATTCTATGAAACGCTTTGTCTCTTTCTAATTATGTTTATTTCAAGACTGTTCATTGTAATATTATTAGCTGACTTCGCTTTACTAGATTTCGTGTTGATGCTGTCAGAGTTGTTGGCTATCTTCATACAATCAACCAAAAACAGTTTTTATGAAAATGGCTGAAAATAATACAAATTCGACTGAAACTAATAATTGTTCTATAAAAAATGGAAGTAAGCAATGGGTGAAACTTAACGTTGGTGGAACGCACTTTCTAACTACGAAAACTACACTGTCTAGAGACCCAAAATCGTTTTTATACAGACTAGTGCAAGAGGATAGTGATTTAGACACAGACAAAGTAAGAATTGTTTTATTATTCTTTCCTTTATTAAGTTCTTTAAAACGTAATTACTGCTTGAAGGAGATAGTTTGAAATGCCAGTATTCACTGACGGTGTCTTTATGGTCTGGCAAGTTTTCCTCATCATTATAATTACAAAAATCCCAGTCAGGTGCAAGTTTATGTTGACCAAGTTAAATGATGCTTTTGTAACTATAGCGTTTGATATTGAATTCAGCAACTGTGCTTTAAGCATATATTTTGCTTCAGCAGAATATTCAGAGCTTTACAGTAACTCTTTCAATAAATATAATTTTAAGATCCTAACTTAAGTACTTAATACCATATATAATGTACCAAAAACATTTAAGTTTATGCCTATATACGAATGTGCAAAGTTCAGATAAAGCAGCAATTAATTGGCGCCAGATAATCCCTGTTTATCCATTCATCCACTCAAGGAGGTTACTTTTAGCGCTAATAGCCCCCCAATAAAGCTTTCGTGCTCATAATTATTTCTTCTACGCACCGAATAAAGTACTTTAGTAAATGCATTAAATTAAATAAATTATAACGGTGTCACTGAATGGGAAAATTATTTCGCATTCCGGTAATTTCCGGACCAATAAACATGCTGCGTGCATCGTTGAAACAATAAAATCAGTAGATAATGAAAGAATGAAAAATATAATTCTCAGTCGCAAACAGCATTAAAGAAGAATCTTCCAAATATATCGTAAGTATATCCTTGGATTTAACAGAAGCAAAGATCTGAGTACAATGGCACTATTGTTAACTGATGAAGGCAAGGTCTGTGCATATATAGTAGGCACGTACCAGCTGCTATTTATTATAATGAAACTAGATAGATATCGATATTATTTATTTCTTATGGAGTATTTGTTTATTCGAGGTGACGTAGCAAAATAAGCAGCTTGGAAACACAAACTTACACCATGTAAAACACCATGTCAACAGGTCCAGTAAGATAATCGGGCTGAAAATAATAAATACACTCAACTCACATGTTTTGATTTAAAAAAATACTTTAATTTAATTATTCATTTAAAATTACTTTACTAAAAGAAAAGTGAATCAAATTTGCTTAAAATTTAAAACTTTATTTAACTCTTTGCATTATTTAATAAGTTCAAAATGACGGCGATGAAGAAACGCAGCAATTATTTCTAAGTATGCAATAAGAACTTGACAGTAACTTAAGAGCTTAGTAAAAACAGTATTGAAAAAATTATGTACACAAAATGGTGAATGTAGTAGTTCAAACTATCTTGCATGCGTCACTAGTCATTAGTTTTTTCTTTTCAATACATACATTTACTTTTATATGTTATATATTTGAACAATTTTTAATATAAAAATCTTTCTTGGCTTCTCACATAACACGCTAAAACATTAATCGGAAAGGCATTTTAACAATGCAAAATCACGTTAAAAATAAGGAAAATATCTGTTTTCAATTAAGTGAAAGGTGTTTTTTTTTTCAAATTTTAAATCGTTTTAGAAGCAGGTTTACAAAAGTGTAGAGTATGTATAAAAATCATCAAGATATTATATTGATACTTTGTTGATTGTTTTAAAATGTTATCACTGTTTTATTATTTCCAGGATGAAACTGGTGCCTATCTTATCGATAGAGATCCGAATTATTTCTCACCAGTTTTGAATTATCTTAGACATGGAAAATTGGTTCTAAATAAAGGTTTAGCCGAAGAAGGTATTTTAGAAGAAGCTGAATTTTATAATATAGCAGAATTAATCACATTAATAAAAGAACGAATAGGACAAAGGGACAATGTCTATGGAAAAGGAGGCAAAAAACATGTGTATAGGGTTTTGCAATGTCATGAAGACGAATTAACGCAAGTAAGTTTATTGATAGTTAAGCATAGTAATTGCGGCCGTGTTTTACAAGTGAATGGAATTATTATTAAGTTAAACACTCTTATAGATGGTTTCTACTATGTCAGATGGGTGGAAATTCGAACAATTAGTTAATATAGGTTCACAGTATAACTATGGTCAAGATGAACATGCTGAGTTTCTATGCGTAGTAAGTAGGGAATATGGAGTCCCTGAAGGTGCAGAAGTACGGGGGGAAAGGGAAGACAGAGCGAAAGTTTTACAGCAAAAGGGCTCACGAATGTAGATTGTGATAACTAGATATTTTATTATAAATTCGAACGACTAAACCGCGAATAATTGTTTTTATCGGAATTTTTTATGTTAAACAGCGCAAATTTTTACCCAATTTTGATTGCAAAAGTTTTGTTACAAAAAAATTATCTACGAATATACAAAAAGATAACAATTTGTAAACAACTCACTGCAGATTTATTAATTTTACATTCACGGAATTTGCAGTAGTGTTGTAAAATGAATGCAGACAATAGCTGATTTTTAAACTAATGCGTTCCCAAAATTATCCAATAGGAGATATTACTTCCAAATTTCCAACTCTACTTGACATAATACCTTATAGGGGGCCGCAAAGTTGATAATTACATGCAGATGCCAAGAACGAAAAAATACTGCTTATTTATCACAGTAATATTGAGTGAGGGTACACATTAGGGATGCCGTCCAGTAATGAGACCTGATGCTTCAAAATTATTAAAATTAACAATATCTGTGATTCTTACTGTAGTATTAATTAGGTTAATTTCAAAGGTCGTTCTTGAAATCCGCGCGTATATAGTGAAACGTGCCGCAATCTGTATGTATATATATAGGGGAAATATAGAAATGTGTCTGCAATTAGATATATTTAACTCAAATGAACATATTTGTTGAAATCAACTTGAAGTAATGAGGATAGCATTCTGTTAGTATGAGCCTTTTGAAAAATGGGCAAATGTTTGACTAAAATTTTCAATAAGCCAAATAGTTTTATATCAGAAGAGTTTATGACTGGTTTCTTCATTGTTGACAGTTTTCTACGCATTCAATTTAAAGTAGCCAAATTATTTTCACTTTCCAAATGTGAGAAGTGTTTTTATTGTTATTCAGATGATTTATAATCTGAATAAACATTGATCTCTGTCTAATTGTGGATGCAAATTAGTTTGCAGAATTTATATATTTTGTATAAAAAAGGGTCAATTGATCTGGTCATAATCATGTAAGTACATTTTTTATCTTTTTGATATAATTTAGCAACGGATTCAACGTTCTGTTTCATTATTATTTATTATTCATGATAAGAATTCAAAACTGTGTTCATTTCAACGTAACTGTGAAGTTTGTTCTAATATGCTCTGCTTTGATATTATAGTCTCATTGTTTGTTTCTACTCAGTTTACTTTTTAATCTATTTTATTTGTCGTCACCATTTATGTGTTATAACAGTTTCGTCCCGTCAAAACGGTATTAACAGTCTGGTATTTAACGCAAATAGTTACCAAAAAGTATGTTTTTAAAATATGTATTTTTGACTTGTACTTTTCCGTTAATTGGGTGACATTTAGTTTGCTCTAATGGGATTTTGCATACACAAATGGATTTTTACTGGTGGCCTAAATCCACGATTTTCAATATCAACTAAAATATGCTAGATTTTTCAATTCAAAGTTATATTATGGTATGGTACAGCAGGTTAATTATTTTTTTAATAGAAGAACTTTAGAGATCGATAAGGTGTTTATTTTGCTATTAGTTAGTGAGTTGCGTTCAAAGTTGTCTCAACACTCCCTCAAAATAAGATGATTGGAGACGGGCGTTGATGGTATGGATATGGCGTTTATAGTCAAAGAAAGTCCGATTTCTTACTTACTGTATGATTACGAAATAAATCACCCGAATAAGTTTTAGGACGCAGTGAATATGTATATTCAATTGTGTATGTAAAAAGTCCATACATAGTATAAACAATTAAAGTACAGACATATTTCCAATTTACATAATAAAACTCAGTGATTTCAACGCAATATATAATTACTGTCTTGTTTGTAATTTATCATAGATTTTCCATTTTGGTCTAAACAGCATACATGATATTTAGAATTAGTTTCTCCGTATATTGAATAGAATGTTTAAATTTTAATTTGATGAAGGTTGCTGTATTTTGATCGTTTTATTTTCTACGTTAGCAGTTATTTTGTTTTTAAAATTTTATAAATATATGATGCAATGAAAAGTATGTATTTTTCTGGGATAGCAAACGTGATTAATTGATAATTTATTGAAGCTAATGTTTAGATTACTTTTTCAGTGCAAAGATTCATTATCTTATGTGTATCATGTATATTGCTGAAAGATTGAAATTTAAGTTGAAATTAGGTCGCATAATTGTAATTGCATAATCGACGACCAAAAGAAAGAGAAAAAGTGCATATAAAGATAGGTACGCAAACGCTTCGTTTGCGAGTTGCCGGTATTATTGGCTACATATTTACTGATTGGAACAATGTTAGTTTGAACTTTAGTTTTGGAGTTAAAATGTTGTTTCACATGACGTTCCGCGGGTTAGTTTCATTGGTCAGCAGTTTTTGTTGTTGAACCGCCATGAAATTCGCCTACGACGCGCCGGTTGCTTTTCTCGGAAGCGTGGATCGAGAAAAATGGTAAAAGAAAGTTCCGAGAAAAACGCATCCTTAAGAGGTAGTAATATTGAAAATACAGTAAGCTTTTAGAAAACTTGTTTGCGCATTCACCAAATTGTCTAACATAGTTTCAGCCAGGTTTTGAAACGATATCTACTATTTTGAACTTTAGTTTTCTTGTAATATTACTTCAAATGTAGTCGAGCTTCTACATGTAGCTCGGTGCATCAATCGATAAAAAAAAATGTTGATCTGCCTTGAACATCCTTTTTACCGGGATACAGCGGACCCCTTAAAAACAAGTACACGGGGAGCCGTTGCACCGAGTACGATTTTTGGAAATGCGGTTCGAAAAGGAGATGGAGATAAGCCCCGAGGAAGCGCTCACTGAAGCGGTACTAAGATTATCAGTAACAGACAACGACGCCTTGATAAGTCTCTATTTTCTGACTCGTTTTGTTTGACGCGTTTTTTTTGCATTTTTTGACTAGAAGAGTCAATAAAGCAAGAGAAAAGTGTATAGCTAGAACTAGTATTTACGACTTCGGGGTAGAAGATGTTACCCAAAAAGTTCTTTATTTTTCGCATCCACCAACCTGTCCAATATGCAGGGACAGTCGTAATTCACATTCCGAAAGGGTATTTCTGGAATTACCCTTCACTTGCAATTGGAGTGAATGAAGGACAATTGTGCTCCACACATGTCTAAATCATAGTTTACATTATCAGCAATTAATATTTTTTCGTACTTTTGGTCGCAGAATATGCAACACAATTTTAATAATTCCATTCAAACTCTTCAGAACCCCAGCTATTTATCCAATATGTACACATCCACTTCCTTTCTCTTTTTTAAATTTAATATATTCACTGTACACGGTCTCACAGATTCTAGTAAATGTTAATATATTATTGCTTTGGCCTCGACTCAACCAAGCGTGTGCGAATTGTCCGACGCTAGCATCTTTGAAAAATAACTGTTTCTATTTTCCAAAAGCAACATTGGGTCGGCATATTCCACAACTTGTCCGCGCTCCATTACTAAAATACGGTTGCATTCCATCACAGACTGCAGCCTGTGAGCTATAATGAACACTGTACAATTAGAAAAGTTTTTGGATATCGCTTTTTGTACTAAAAGGTCTGTTTCGGGATCCATATTGGCCGTGGCCTCGTCTAAAACTACGATTTTGTTCTTTTTAATTATGGCTCTAGCTAGGCAAATCAGCTGCCTTTGGCCTGTGGAGAAATTTGAACCATGATCTGATATGAGCAGATCTAAACTGGAAATGTGCTCTTTCATATGCACTTTGTCCAGTGTTTCCCAGACTTCCTCATCCGTATAAAGGTTGGTCGGATCTAAATTGTGCCGAATAGTGCCTGAAATATACCGACACATGAATGTCATTTAATGCTTTAACATTTTTCCTACCTTCAAACAATAAAGGGTCTTGAGGGATAATTGATATGTGCTGTCGGACAAACTCCAGCGACAAAGTTTTTATGTTAACGTTATCAATGAAAATCACGCCATCATAGTTGTACAACCGGAACAGCGTGGATATAATAGAACTTTTCCCAGCTCCTGTTCTTCCAACTATACCGATTTTGTGTTTAGGTTTCACCTCAAAACTGATATCTTTAAGCACTTTTTCCAATTTGTAAGTGAGTGAGACGTTTTTAAAGATAACTCCCCCATGCTCAGGCCAGTTTTCTAAGCAACTTCCTTCGTAGTTGTCCTACAATGTAATGTGATATAAAAAAATTAGGGAAACTAAATTTATTATTGCGTTTACCTGTGGCACTTCAGTATACTCCAATACTCGTTCCACGTGCGTCATATCATTTTCTAGTTCAGACCACTGAAGCAACGACCACTGCAGCATCATCGCTATAGTAGCAGCCTTTGTAATTGCTAGACCAACATCGCCAGAAAGTTCACCTGCCGATAATATGGTCATTATAAATGTGCAAATGCATCTAAAAGCTTGAAATACCTGCGCCCCAGAATAGTAATTTTCCAACGACAAAAGTAACAAACAGTGCTGTAAGAATGTCCATAAAAAACGCAAAAGCCTTCCTTACGCAGAAACTCATATAATGAGCTGAAGTGTAAAGGTCCTGATGCCTGTCGAATTCTTTAATTAGGAGATGCTCGACTTTGCTCGCTCTGATCGTTGTTAGTCCTTCAATGGAGGCATTAAGATGACCAATCAAAGGACTGCGAGCTAAAGACAAGGCAATCCTTTAATTTCTTTTTCACAAATGTTTTTAGACTAAAATATTTGAGCCAAAAAGTTCAAAAGTAAATGTTTTGACATGTAAAAAATATGCTGAACACCACATTGAAGAACGAATGTAAGCACTTACTAGCTGCTTCAAGACGCTTGAGGCTTCTGGCTGCCGGCATATACACTACGCGAAGTAAATACATAATTACAGCCAATATTCCTGCTGGAATCATAAAAATGTAGCTTACAGTGGAAACTAAAGCAATGGCGCCGAAAGAAGCGAAAAGAATCTAAAAAAAGATAAGTTTAATGAGTTTGAAAAATGTAAATATAATTATGATAGTTAGGAATTGTTAACCCATCAGCAATATGCAGGATGATCTTAAGTTAGGTTGCATCTTCTACGGATACAAATAAGGCAAAGCGGTCATATAAACATACATTTGCAAACGCGTCGTTAAGGAATTCTCGTATATAAAAGTTTTATGTGTTTTTTTTTTAGGTTTATGGCCACTTTTGCGGCCAATTTCTTTTGTAGAGAATCGCTGATATTTTGTTGATAAAAAATGAAATTTTTCGTTCAATATGGACATTTTTTTGCCATTTACATTGCTTGCGTATCGGTAATCGTTTCCTAGTTGTACAGGGTGTCCCATCATCATCAAAAATGTACTGCGTCATTATTTGGCTCAATAGAAGATTTTACTTAAACTCGCTGTGAATTTGGTACTACGTAAGAGTCATCTTTTGATAAATCAACCGAGTTTATCCTCTTTGGGCAAGTGGTAAATTCTGAATGTCGGAAAATACCACATATTTTTATTTGGTGGCTGGGATCAACTCATTTTTTTGGAGTTGATGCTGCGTAGTTCTTTTTTGACATTTTTGTGTTCTTTGTAAAGTCTTGTAGAGTTCATAGTTTTTACCCCAAAAATATGTCTGTTTTCTTGCTATTTAGTAACTGCAAATGTGGTAAGGGATGATTTTTTATAATAAATTTATTCTCAACCGTTTTATAATTATTAACTATTAAAAGTTATAGGCTATATTTGGAAGCATTTTCGTACGAATTGCATTCCTCATAAATCCGACGAAAAAAAGCCAGTTTTAAGCAAAATATGACCCTCACGTACGCACAAATTCACAGCAAGTTTTATTAAAATTCATATGAGTACTATTCCGATATTTAAAAAAAAAAAATTTAGTTCTGTTAATGTAAAAAATTCACTAATGTAACATTGTTAATTGGAAAAGAAACAGCACATATTTTAGCGCAAAAACTATGAATGCTTAAAATTTTTACAAAGAGCACAAAAACTGCGTGCATCAACCCAAAAAAATCAGTTGATTACAACCACCAAACAAATAGTTCTGGTAGTTTTTGTACCCGGACATTAAAGAATTTACCACTTACCCAAAGCGGACAAAGTTGGTTGCTTTATGTAAACATAAGTCTTATTAAAGCACAAGTTCACGGCAAGTTTCATTAAAATCCATCGTATCATTCTTGTGATATCTCAAAAAAAATATTTTTAAGAACTTTGACCATCAATAGCCGAGAAGCCAGACAATTTTTCTTAATAAAAGTTAGGTCAGATGGTCTTATTTTGTACCAAAGAATCTTACAGTAATATTTTGATCATGTGCTTAAGAGCCTATACCTATAGTATACATGAGAGTGGTGTTGACTGATTGCATAATATCGGCATCCACCAATAAAAAAAAATAAAGGAACAACAAACAATATTTTAACAACAGGAAAGTTAACATGGCTTCAAATAAATCCTAGCAAAAGAGAAATTGATATGTACTTAAAAGTGCTTGTATTTCGTAAACGCTTGCTTCTGTATGGACTTTTTGTCTTATTTCTTTGTTCACAGAATATGCAATTAAAAGTATGCAACCTGAAAACTTAATTTCACCCTGTATAGATGTAAAAACTAATTTTTCTGGTTGACGAACGCAAGATATTTGGTAAGTTGATGTATTTTTTACTAGAGGTAAGTTTGTTCAACCAAACATTATATTTTAAAAACGCTTTGTTTCCGATCTAGAGAATGTACAACTTTTCAAAGACTAATTGATTAACTTGACTTAATTAAAGTCAATTTACTCCAAAGTTTAAGCTTTAATTAGTAAGTTTAAAAACTGAAAGAATTGCAATTTTAGGTGTTTAATTTCCTTAGGTATTTATGTACAATTTTTCAAACCAATCCTTAATATTGAATGTTTCAGTTTTTTGAAATATTACTTCACACAAAACGGGTATTGTTAAGTTATCATATAAAATTGCAACCAACTATTCCGGAAGGTTTTCAATGTTCAAATATTTGAAAAGAAACTGAAATGTATACATCGGCTTACCAAGTAAGCATATCGGAATATACGGATGAGGTACAATTCATTTAAATATATTTTTCCATTTTTTTAAAAACGGTTATTAATCGTTAGAATAAATTTTGATTGGGTAAAACAAGGAATTTCTTTGTATAATTTTTGAAAAATAAAGTGAATAGTAACTTTAAATACAAAAATCATTAAAAAAAAGTTAGTTTAGTAAACATTTAGTTTTTATGCGCTTATCATGTTCCACTGACATGTTTTTAGATCAGAAAGATTCATGTTTTAAAATTGCAATTTTAAAAATACCACCTTACCATAAGAAAGAAGTTGACATCATGCGGTAAAACCTCGTCCACAATGGCCAAGTCCTGCGAAAATCTATTCAGAATGTTCCCAATAAAATATCGATCATAAAAGGCCATTGAAGCAGTGGACAGTTTATCAATCATAGCGCGATGCAAACCGATCGAGGCCTTTCTTCCGAAATTTATCAGTAGAAACTGTATCAGAAGGTCCAAGCAGAATACACCCACAGTTATGCCCGAATATAACTTTATGCTCCAATCTGCCTTGGCATTTATCTTGATGTAGGTTGTACTGTTGGTAAAGTTAATTTCCTTGAGGTTGGTTAGATTTTGTTGCAAGTTGATCCTAAAACAGATTTGTTGTCATGGTTTGTTGTGTTAAGTAGTTTACGGTTTTAACAAACCAATTTGTAAAAACTCTGGATGAATAGTTATCGCTGAACTCACTAGTGAGAACCAGCAGCGCCAATCCGAGAAAAACCAGTATCCCTCCTCCAAAAGTAAAATATTTTTTAAATACCACAAAATCGACTTTTCCTTCTTTTTTCACTTCGCTGTAAACCTTCACTTTTCCGATTTCGGGTCGTTTAATCAGACCGGTATTTTCGTCACTATCATCATCACCATCAGCTTCCTTTTTCGATTGCTTCTTCTCATCTATTTCTGCTTCCTTGATAATTTCCTCTTTTACTTCTGCGGCTTTCCCATCAAATGTAATTCGTCCCTCTTTTAGCACGATTATGTTATCAGCACCGTTTTTGTGCTTGAAATTATGGGTCACCAGAACGCGTTGATGATTTTTCAGAAAGTCTTTAATGCAATTTTGGTAGATAAATTCTTGCACGTGAGGATCTAAAGAGTGAAGCGGGTCGTCCAAGAGGTAAATATCGCTTTCTTTGTAAATCGCTCTAGCTAGATTAATTCTCGTTTGCTGGCCTCCGCTTAGGTTTTTACCCCCATCAGCTATAATTATATGCAAACGTTAATTTTTGTGCATTCAAAATGTTGTAAATGGAAAATGTACTTCTAGTCATGTGTTATGTTACGTTTCGGGAAACTTAATAGTCATCATCAAATGCATTTTGATTTTTCTACATTGGTTTATTAAAATGTTCAAATTATTTTGTAGCCACGCATTTGTACATTTTGCAAGTGAATGCGAACAGATGAGCCGAAAAAATAAGAAAACACTCACATGAAACAAAAAAAAAAGATTAAAACGACCTATAATTAAAAGAAGTATTAATAAATTATATGAATAGTAAGTAGCATGAAGAAGCGCTACCTCGTATCTCTCAAGTTTTGCTAAATTAAGTGCAAAAATAAACCAGAGAACTGACTTAGAAGGGTCTAATGAAAAATGAATTGTCTTAATTGCACTTAATTGCACATCTACACTATAAAGAAAATTAACCAATTGTTAGTTCGGAAAAGAAAAATACTTTTACGAAACTTTTTTTATAAATATTGATATTTTTTTATGCAATAAACTTGTGAATTATATTATTATTTAATAAAATTTACTATCACCTAGTAAGTGAATTACTAAACGCTGACATTATAGTAGTGGACAAGAAATGAATAAAAAGTAACAGTAATTATTGAGATAAATAAAATTAAAAATATTTAAAACAATTACAATTTAATACAATATGGTCTTTAGGAATGCTTGAAAGCTATTTTCCACGAATTTATTAAACATCACTCGATAAACAGAGTGTCTGTATCGTGTATAAACGGAAATCTTTAACTTTTTGTGACCAAAAATACATTAAACATCAGGTACTGAACCTCTTCCGATCCGCTTCCGATCTATGCGATGCTAGTTTTTTGTTAATTCTAAGTCTTGTTAAGATTTTGTCAGCTTTAACTTATTTACTTTGAGTCAATGAACATGCCAAATCGATGTGAGAATCTAGAGGGTATTTTTGGGCGTTTTTTCCTATTTCAAACTTTTTCCAAACTTTTTATAAGATCGCTGGTGTTACATTATAAAATATAAAATATTTTTTCAGATTTACTTAAATTAATTCCGGTCGTATCAGCGACCTTTCGCCAGAATAAATATTTTTTTGTAATTTCAGTTAAACGAATGTAATTGTACTTATTACGGGCAACTAGGTATTTAAAGTGTTTCTTAGTTCTCTTAATGAAAGACTAGACAATAGTTTTTTTTTGTTTTTTTCTCTTGAAAGACAAAAAATGTATTCAAAGCGTAATATGAATTTTATTTACTAAGTTCACCATAAACTCAAATTTTGAGCTGAACATCTGCAAACATGCGAAAGTTATACCAAGACAAATTCAACCGCGCCGTTTTAATAAACAATCGAAAACAGAACATTAGCGGTCTTACATTTGTATGAATTTTTAGTGATAAAATGAGATTTAAGTGCATGGTTGGATTGAGTTCCTTGCTAGAATAGTTTTTGTTGTGTTTTTTGTTACTGCGAATACGAAAAATTGAATTGCAAACTATAAAGTTTCCACAATATTTTCGTTGGGTATTTCGTCTCAACAAAATTTCTGGTTTTGTAATAAAGAATTTCTTCACGATTTACTGATTGATAAACAGTGCTATACATATTTAAGGATAAGGAAACATTTTTTCCATTTTATTTTTTATTTTCCCATAAGAGACGTGAGAAAATGTTTTCTTACACAACTACAACATTTTTTTAGGCAAAATACCCAACGGAAAGTTTTTGAAAACGTGAATCCGCCGCAACCATATAGAACTTATCTAATACACAGGGTAGCCTAAATTTTAGTGGCAATTTTATCACAAATTGGATCCCATCGGTCAGTTTAGCAAAATTTTTGTTTCAGTTTTAGTTGTAGATTTTGGAGACTTGAGTTTAATTTGCAAAAATATTTAAATATATTTTGCATGTAAAATTCGGTTTGATTAAAATCCTTTAAAAATAAAGCGAACAATTATATAATACCCCACTTGGTAAAGATTTGCTTATATATGAAAACTATTTACTTAAACTTTAATTTACAGATACTAAAACAGAAAATGTTGGTACTTACACACAATGGTTTCATCGCCATTATCAAATAAATTAAAGTCATAGTCTAACGCACAGACTTTGACGACTTTTTCGTATCGAGCCGGATTATATGGTTCTCCAAACACTATGTTTTGTTTAATTGATGATGGAAACAACCATGAGTCTTGAGAGCAATATGAGAATCTCGCTCTTGAGTGCAATTTTCCGTCAGCTATTGGAACGTCTTTTAGGAAAAGCTTTAGTAACACACTTTTGCCACAACCCAAAGGACCGGTAACTACAGTCAGACCCGGCTTTAATTCGGTGGTGATATTTTTCAAGATTTCTCGGTCTTTTACCTACAATCGAGGAAATTGAGCAAGGGAACTAAAACGTAATTGATTACTCTTACTTTCACAGTGACTCCTGAAAGTTTCACCTTAGGTGCTGATGTGTTACTATAATCATCTACATCAAGTTCCTCTGAGTTTAGAATTCTATTGACTCTTTGACTAGCTGCGATTATTTCAGCGCATTTACCAAACGCAATGGGAATGAGAATACCGACGGCATGTTTCAAGTCATGATAGGCTCTCATCACATAAAATATTACTTCAGCCTCTGGAACTTCTGTGAAGGCGATATAAGTCATCATTAAAATGTAGATGCCAATTTTTGAAGAAAATATTCCTATTATGAAAGTCATTGATTTCAAGTAGGCTGATTTTAGGAGGAACTTCATTTCTTTGCTGAAAAAATATTATATATTTATATCGTATACTGTATTACAATTCATATAATATGAGTGGTTAATTTTTCTAGTTTCTTGTGGATTTTTTATTATCTCTTAATATGACAATTGTACAAGTTTTGTAAATCTATTTCTTCCTGGTTGCTTCTTTGCTTTAAAATGGTTCAAATGTCTGGGCTTTCAAGTCAATTAAAACGTATATTCCAAATAAATATAAAACTCACCAAGTGGAGCTACCAAAAATAATCTAATATAATAATATGTAAAACGTAGGTTTAATATCAAAATTCCCCCATGGAGGAAGGTGAAGAAGAAGATTTGCTGCAATCAACGGAAAATACAGATATTACGTTAAATGAATTATTTTACAAAGAGGAGAATCCAAAATACCCAGCAAGGTTTATGAAAAACAATTACAATTAAAAATAAATGTTTAATTAAATAGTTGCGTGTTTACGGTGGAATACACAAATACGCAATATAAGACTAATCATAGTAATCAACTAAGTTGATATAAAAATAATAAATGTATTGTAAATTGACAAACGAAATTAAATAGGAAATCAAACTTTTGGATGTAATGTAAACTATATTGTTCAAAATTCGTTAAACTTACATATTGCAAAATCGGCCTGTTCTTGTTCACAATAAATCGGAATGAATGTTTTTAAATATTTTCTAAAAGAGTTTTCTTGTTCCCCTTAATATCGATAGTATATTTGATTCCAAACAGACTGTAAATCTGAATCTGTAAATTCCAGTTCATAGACCTACCTTATAAGGAAAATTTCGTTTATTTGACTTGCGTTTTAATTGACTGGAAAACTTGAAATTACATATAATTGCTTATGATAAAAGACAACTTACATTCTTTTTTCCTCCACTTTCCTAACAAACACTTTCTCCCAAGTGTACATTTTTATTATCTTGATGGCCGATAAAGTTTCTTGGGTGATTTGTATTCGTTCGTCAGTCTTTTTGCTCAAATCCAGACGCAGGTTTTTAATGCATTTTCCGATATAAACTAAAATCCAGCTATTAATTTGATTTCGAACTTACTGATTAATGATGCTTACCTTGTAGAGGTAACACCACCATAAGGAAGCCAATGCCGAAAAAACTGAATACACCCATTTTGTTATATATTAGGTAGCATATTAGGAAAATTCTGATAATTTCAGCCCATACATCGCTAAAAAGAGGCACACCTTTTTCGAAAACGTTAGCATCTTTGGTCATTACGGTTATTACATTTCCCAGACCCACCTGCTGCATTGCTGATGGTGAAAGTCTCAGCGCTAGAAGCAGAATATTCTATTTAGAAATCACGCAGAATAAATTGCCGATTTTTATACCCTTTCGATATACCAAAGAACAGAGAGAATTCTTTATGTTAATCGCCAGTTGTTGAAGATAAATTGAATAGTTCTGCATGTACAGTGCGTGCAGGAATTTCAGGCCGACCATTAAACAGGCATAGAAAATTGCATCATTAAATGTGAGTTTGGATTTTGGATTAAAATACGACACCAACTTTCCAATAGCTTCAGGCTCATAGATGCTAAAATCAACCAACAACTCTAATATATTTCATAGGTAGGATTTCAAAACTCAATACCTGTTAGTCGATTTCCAAATCAAGTTAATTAAACTCAACAGGGCAAACTGTTTACCAAAGTTTTTCCATAAAAGCCAAAATAACGAGCAATGCCCATTATCAAGTACGCGCTTCCTCCAGCTCTCAGCAACTCTCTCGGAAGTAGTTTCTGATTTACATGAGTTTATCACTTCATAGATATCCTCTTCTTCTAAATCCTTTTTAAACGCCTTTTTAAATAATCCTCCAGTATAACTAAAGAAAAGTATTACTGCATCTAAACCACTTGTATCACCCCCCTTGAATTCGTCATCTTTACATTTTCAGGGCAACCGATTCAACGCAACTTGAAAGTTTTACTGAATAAAATAGAAACTTGATTTTAGTGCAATTTCCCTGTAGTGTTAAATAGTATTAAAAATGCATTAATCATTTTTCTTGAGTGTAATATGAGCCTTTGAAGTACGATCAAGTAAAAGTGTGTTCTACTAAGGTTTAGATACTTAATTTGATTGAACTTGAACTAAATCGTTAATTGTTTCTGTTTACATACAAGTTTATTTATTATAAGTTAATACTGGATCGGTTTATTCTGATCAGTATAACAAAAACTTGGTGTTATATAAACCATATCCTCTACTGGCCTTTTAACTGAATGTTTCAGTTCTAAAACGTTATTTTGAGATCAGATTACTTTTTCAACTTCGCTATATTAAGTATAAAAATAATGAAAATCGCTATAAAAAATATGGAAAAAACTTACGAAAAAGTAAAAAGACTTAGAAAATTAGCATGTTCTCGAGGGTTGCTTTTTCTGTGGACTTTGCCATAGTGATCCATTTCCAATGCTCGTGCGGTCTGCTAAATTTCACTCAAATGTAACTGCATCCGATTGGATGATGGTAATGTAATTAACTCTCCGATAGCAAGGCAGTGTTCACTAGAAATAATTTTTTTAAACTAAGGCCTCGATTGTTCAGAGGGATTTGTGGAACAAAAGAACGTTTACTCGAAGATATTTTTCTTATTTAAAATTACTCGGTCACTAAGTAAATAACCCTGATCGAATTTGATAAAATTAAATGCTCGAGCCATTACCACTACAAAGCACTACTTAATTTCTTCTGTTTGTTTATATATAGTAAATAGGTTTAATCAGTTGTGTCTGTTACAGAGTTTACTAATCTCGTTTTTCATTTATATTTTGGGGCTTGGAATACAATGCAAACGTTTCCTCAATTTCCTCAGATAAGCAATAACAAATAAATAAATAAAATAGGAGCTTGTTTTGCCAATTTCTTTTATAATCTAGGAACATTTACCATAATTTTTTATGCTTATCTTGGGCAGAGCCATACATTTCCAAGTTCCATCCAAATGTTCAAGATCAACTTCAAACTTTTAATTATATTATATTTCATTCTTAGACAATTGCTGAACTTTATGTAGGGAGCATTTTGTAACTCGTTCAATTCAGTTAACAAAATGAAACTGCATTAACTAATAAACTAAGTCAATACTTACCGTTTTTGAGAATAACAAAACAACACCAACAGAGAAGAAATAAATTGAAGCATTTGGGTTTAATTGAAACAGACGGTCGAGTAATACATGATTTAATTATTTAAAATGACAAATATAATAAAATACCAGACATACATATACAACAGTACACTTATTTAAATTATTCTCTCCGATTTGAGCAATCTATCGGGAGCAAAGAAAGCACGTTAAAATACAGTAATGGGTCATTATTTGCAGTTGAAGGTTTAACTTCTCAATCATAATTAGCCTTTTGTGAATTAATTTAATATAAAATTGTGTTAAATGGCTTATCAGCTACGTGCTTGGCCAATAGACAGTTTATATTCGAGATGCACGTTTCAACTCTGTCAATTTCTGTAATTTTATCCCCAATAAATTGCCCGCACCGATCGAATCGTATTGAAATTAGCAATCAATTAATACAATCCTTTTCAAATGATCAGTATTGCATTGCATCATGCAGGACTAGTTGCTGAACCTTTAAGTTTAAGGAAAATTTGGCGAAATATTTAAAGCTAGTGATGTAAATTTATAACACCTTATACACAAATAATTGTCAATTTAGCGACTTCCTCTAGTCATTGCCCTAAGAGTAAATTCGTTCCAAAAAGCAGATCGACTTGTTTTTAAATGCAAAAGCATTTTTTAAATATTGATAAAAACTACTGAGTTTAGTTAACATTCACTACAAATTTGATACAAACACAAGTTTCTTATGCAACAGATAAGATTCAATAAGAGTATTCTTTGGTATCAGTTGTGGTACTATTGGCAATGTTTTTGCCATCTCTAGTGTAATCGGATTCGTGTTAAACTACACGCGATGATTACGTTTCTAAATTTTAAAAAAATTAAGTCAAATAAACATAACTTAAAACAAGTATGCATATATTGTAATTTAAAGACCCCTTAGGTCTCTACCCGATAGTATATTCGAATTAGCTACATAACTAATAATAAAGTCTCGAGGACGGAAACAGACTAAGTATCTATTAATAATAATTATCACCCAAGTTTAATAAATATTCGCCAGCTTTGCTGCTTCGTTATTTATTGACTAAAAATAATAAATTCTAACATGATGGAAGCCACAAACCGTTGGTTTTTGGAAAATTAATCGCTATCAAATAGCAACAATTAATGTCATAGAAAGAAGAAATTTTATAAATTTTCTTGCTGCTTTAATAAAAATTTGCTTCTTTGCTAAGAGAAATATTACTTCAAAGCCCTGACTGTTGCTAGAAGTTGATCCAATTCAACTTTGTAACCGATTAATTGTTGCTGCCTTTCCGCACATTGATCACAGCTCCTGTTAGTAATTGATTTCTGCGCCAAACTCTGGACGATTGCTCTTAGCCGATATTCCCGTTCCTCGTAATGTTTTTCCAAATTTGAAATCTGAGATGTTAAAACAGTGTTAACAAAATTCCGTTAACAAACATTAAGATCATGAAATTACTTTTTTAAGAAGTACATCAGCTTCCTTCCGATCTCCCGCTCCATCCCCCAAGGCAGCTCCTCCACACTGCAAACCATTCATTAATCTGCTATTTAAGTGATCTCTCTCCACATTTACAATTGCCAGTTCTTCTTTTGCTTTGGTTAGATGGGATTGAAGTGTTTTCACGGACACTTGCTGCATCTCCAGTTGCTCCCGTAATGGAGTAACGCTCGAAACGTAATTACTAATCTCCCGTTCGTGGGCATCTTGAAGGGCTGTAAGCTGAAGAGCACTATTGTGAAGATTTTACTATAATTTGGGAAAAGGCATATTCGTTTAAAAGACGGTTTTATATAAGTTCTGCATCTTGGCTTTATTTAAAATGTGTTTCATATAACTTCTAGATCTTGACTTTATTTAAAATGTGTTTGTTGCTTTTTTATGAGAATATTGTTTTTTTAATGCACAATCATAATTGCTGCTGTTTGTAACTGCGTCATGGTGTAAGACTCATAAACTGTTAATTATGAGCGTAATAAAACTTATAATATTAAACAATCTCGCACTTGCAGCAAAGAAATTATATGCTTTTTTTATGTCAAATCATTATGAAAACAAAATTAAGCATATGTACATCAATAAAACTACATTACCATGTTGTGAAATGATGAAATATCAAATTTCGCTTAACAATAGACAGTCATCATTAAAGCAAATATAAGCAAATTACTCCAAAGCCACATTGTGTCAATATCACAATTTTTACTTACATCGTCCAGGCGTTTTTTCTTCAAATTTTGATATTCTTCCTCCAGTCTGGCTAGTTGCTGCTTCACTTTATCCCTTTCGAGTTTGAGCTGCTGTAGTGCTTCCTCCTTCCTAAAATCTTGCACGCTTCCCGATCGCGAATAAGCAACTAATTTTTCTGGATAACTTCGAAAGTCTTTTCTCTCGCTAAGGTTGCGTAAACTACCTTCCCTGTAGTTAGGATTCAAATTAATTAAAACCTGCTATTCGAATGGAATATTTTTAAAATAAAGCTGTTTCAGTACGAGAAAACTTTTACATAAAATATTACTTGATGTACTATTCAGATTAGATGTTTGATTTGCAAATAACATTTTATTTTCCTCTCTTCTCCAAATCAATCTTTTTTTGTTGTTCAATCATATTAAAATCGTAATCAACAAGATGTTTATCAGGTGATTCTTAATGGTTGTACTGATTCTGCAATGGATGAGGGGATCCTCAAATATGACCGAATATTAATAACATTCGCGAATAAAAAGAGTTCAATCTCAAAGTCGGTGAACATACAGACACTTTTATCTATCAATTAACGTTGCACTTTTAGAGAAAATTGAAAACTGTTAATGTTCTAATAAAATGATTGCAAATATTGCCCTATTTCTTTATGTTAGAGAACGTTCTGCAATGTTTGCCAACGTGTTAGTAACATACACTCAATTCTCAATAGGTATGTTCAAGTTATTTAACTATCGTTCGCGAATGTTCCAAAACGATCAGAAACATAAAGAGTTAAGTGTTCAAGCTTCGTGAATTATTAAAAGATTGTACTCAATTAATAATATATAAAGTCACCATCCTTAAACATTATAATGCTACTAGAATAACCTATAGAAACTTACGGATATGCCGCTCAAATGTTCTCGAATATTGCAAAACGATTTTGAATACTAAATCTATCAGACAACTCTTGGGAATTTTTCAATTCATAATAAATGTTAAAAATAGAAAAAACAGAATACTCTCTTGATGGAAATCATCTGCTTCAGACCAGCATATTACGCGTGACAATATTCCCATATAAAAATCATATTTAATGAATGTTGCTACTTCTAAGATGGCCTTCAAGTTTTACTGATATTACCCTGCTATATTTTCAGAAGATTAATATATATTTTTTTACTTTTTTACGCACTATGGATGCTTACTTTCGTTCAGATTACATAGTTCAACACAAATTGCCTGTCAAAATAATTTTCTCTTAAATCAATCAGTTTTTACCTTTACACCAGTGCTATTAATTTGCACTTTATTTTTTTTTTAATTCTGTTTAACCCTTAACGAATAGGTACTCAGTATAAGTTCTTACCTTTCCTTCTGCAACCTTTTATTAGTTTTCCGTAATTCCTCGATTTCCTTGTGCAATTTCAAAATAGCTTTCTCCTTATTCGACAAATCTGTTTGCAAGCCTCGTATTGTAGCTAGTAGATGTGCGTCTTCCTTATGGTTGTCTTTTTCTGGCGCTTTGTTCCGTCCAACAGGGGCAAATTTGATCTTATGCGCTGCTGCTTCCGTTTGAACGCCAATGGTAAACGATTCCTTTTCCGGAATTTTTCCTTTGAAGAACGTCTGTGTATACACGTCGTAAGTATCAGTTTTCTTCTTCATCTGGTTCTTGAGGTCACTGACATGCAGTTCGAGGTCCTCGATGTGACTTTCGTATTTATTCTTCATCTGATTGAACTTTTCTTGAATTTCCATAAATACCTTGGACGATTGCAAATCTCTGCTTGTTACTTCTTGTTCTAAAGTTTTAATGCGATCTTCTAACAATTTTCTGGCTGTCAAGTTTGTATCGGTGGCGTTTTCTTTGGCTGCAACTGAAGAAACAAGCTCTGATTTACCTCAATATTCAAAAGCCAAAAGATACTTATGAAGCAATAAATTCGTAAGTAGTTTACCTATTAAGGCGGATACTGAATCCGGATGTTTCCGCGCAATAATTCTCTCCATCTCCTTGATTTGCCGGTTCAAGTCCTGAATGCATTTCGAATCCTTCTCATTTTGCAACCGCAGACTTTTTCCCTGCAATTTTTCAATGTCCAAAAGCTTCTTCAAATTCGTTTCATTTTCGATCAGTTTGGCTTTAGCTTGCTGAATGTTGATCAGCTCTGCTTTATATTTGGCCAACGTTGCTTCAAGTTCCACAACCTTTCTTTCAAGATTTTTATTGGACGACACCAAATCATCGTATGAGCTTTTCAAATGATGGTGCGTTTTATTAGCAGTCTCCAGTTGCAGTTGAAGAGAAGTATTAATTTCTTTGCAGTCTTTCACTTCTTCTAAGGCCTTCTCTAATTCGAGGTTTATTTCAGGAGATGACAGGGTTTTAGTATTCAACTCAGTTTTCAGTCTTTCAATTAAACTCTGGGTATTTTGAAGATCACACTGCAAACAATTATTTTGTTTTAATTGAGACACAGCGTGGAAAAAAGAAAAACAAGTGTTTTTTTACTATTTGGCGAGTTAAATATATGTGGAATATGTATATTGGGTATATTCATAAACTGGATGAAAATATAAGGTGTCTGATAACATTCAAGATAAGATTTGCTTTAGGGTAATTAAAGGTACTTTTTCATTATTAAAATTTTTATATTTAGTTCAACAGTTCTAGTTTGAAGAGACCGAGCAGATAGTCAAACGTACACATACATAAATGTATCGTGCACGTTTTAATTTTGTTTATTAACATAATCAGTTTACTTAGATAGTTGGAGCGTCTGGGAACGGAAAGTATGTGAAATTTAATTGCATAACTGCCAATCTATTGTGTGATTCTCTTTTCATACTATTCTTCAAGCCATCCCAACCTAAGATGATAAAGCACTATTCGATTTCTCTTTAACGTTATGAAAATAGCAAATTATTAATTGAAAATAATCTGTCTCCATAAAAGCTCACTTTTATACTTAGAGAAATTACTTTTATTTTTAAACATAGATGATACAGGCAGTTTGAAATTGTTCCTCAAAAAAATTTGGTATATTTTCTAAAGTACTAAAGTTTCTTAAAATTTATTGCATTCTAGTTTCTTAATGCAAAATGTATATAAAATAACAAAATCCAGGTCGTCGAATCCTTCACGATTTCCTGTTGTTTCATTGGATGCAATTAACAATAGCTATTCTTCCATAATAAAGAATCAATAAGTAAACGACCGTGAAGCATAAAAAATACCAAAGATTATTGAAAATGGACAATGTTAATAAATCATTCCATGACCGCCATTTATAACAATAACAATCGGAGAAACAGGACCATTAAACTAATGAACAAACTTTCTTTTCCGAATAATGCTGGCACAAATAAAACCATCATATATTGAATATTAATCAAATTATCTGCGTAAAACGATGACACTCATACATACAAATCAGTATGAGATATGTTTGTAAACATGTCGTGATTGTTTACTGATTAACAAGTTAAGTAATTTAACAGCCTATGCAGTAAAATAAATATTATTTTAACTGAAAATATGGTCTGCTTTGAAACCTTAACGGCCTCACAAAGATGTTATTTTCTTCTTGAACTCTGTTAAACCATTAAAATCCGCCCACATACGCTTATGAAACTGTAGATCAACAATCGCGACCATAGGAAGACTATTCATTTCGACTTCAGCGCATTTCAGTACCGTTCGTTTGATTTGGGTCACTTAGATATTATTATTCGATAACAAATTCAGCAGCGTTTGATATATCTGATATACATTTTTATGCTTTACATTACCTATGGACACGATCTTTGTTTTTAGTAAGTAAAAATTCAACAAAGACGAACTGTAAAGTCGT